GACGCTGCTTGTTGTGTTATTTTGCAGGTAAAGACGAGCCCAGCAGCTACACGTGTACGACTTGTAAACAGCCTTTCAACAGCGCCTGGTTCCTCTTGCAGCACGCACAGAACACGCACGGCTTACGGATCTACCTAGAAAGCGAGCACGGCAGCCCCCTGACACCACGGGTTGGTATCCCAACAGGACTAGGTGCAGAGTGCCCTTCCCAGCCACCTCTCCACGGGATTCACATTGCAGACAATAACCCTTTTAACCTGCTCAGAATACCCGGCTCGGTCTCGAGGGAGGCGTCGTAGAAGGGCGTTTCCCACCCACGCCGCCCCTCTTTAGCCCTCCCCCGAGGCACCATTTGGATCCGCATCGCATTGAGCGCCTGGGTGCGGAAGAAATGGCTCTGGCCACCCATCACCCTAGTGCCTTTGACAGGGTGCTGCGACTGAACCCCATGGCGATGGAGCCCCCCGCTATGGATTTCTCCCGGAGGCTGCGGGAGCTGGCCGGCAACACCTCCAGCCCGCCCTTGTCCCCGAGCCGGCCCAGCCCTATGCAAAGGTTGCTGCAGCCCTTCCAGCCCGGCAGCAAGCCCCCGTTCCTGGCCACGCCGCCCCTTCCTCCTCTGCAGTCCGCTCCTCCTCCCTCCCAGCCGCCCATGAAGTCCAAGTCCTGCGAGTTTTGCGGGAAGACCTTCAAGTTTCAGAGCAACCTGGTGGTCCACCGCCGGAGCCACACTGGGGAGAAGCCCTACAAGTGCAACCTCTGCGACCACGCCTGCACGCAGGCCAGCAAGCTGAAGCGCCACATGAAGACCCACATGCACAAGTCCTCCCCCATGACGGTGAAGTCGGACGACGGGCTCTCCACCGCCAGCTCCCCCGAGCCGGGCACCAGCGACCTGGTGGGCAGCGCCAGCAGCGCCCTCAAGTCCGTGGTGGCCAAGTTCAAGAGCGAGACCGACCCCAACATGATCCCCGAGAACGGGGACGAGGAAGAGGAAGAAGAGGAGGAAGAGGAGGAGGAGGAGGAGGAAGAGGAGGAAGAGGACTTGAACGAGAGCGACAGGCCGGACTACGGCTTCGGGATGAGCCTGGAGGCGGCCCGCCACCACGAGAACAACTCGCGGGCCGGCGAGGAGGGTCGGTCGATGCCGGACGTCATGCAGGGCATGGTCCTGAGCTCCATGCAGCACTTCAGCGAGGCCTTCCACCAGGTCCTGGGGGAGAAACACAAGCGGGGCCACCTCCCCGAGCCCGAGGTGCACAGGGACACTTGCGACGAAGACTCGGTGGCCGGCGAGTCTGACCGCATCGACGAGGGGGCGGTCAACGGCCGGGGCTGCTCCCCGGGGGAGTCCGCCTCGGGAGGCCTGTCCAAAAAGCTGCTGCTGGGTAGTCCCAGCTCCCTGAGCCCCTTCTCCAAACGCATCAAGCTGGAGAAGGAGTTCGACCTGCCGGCCGCCGCCATGCCCAACACCGAGAACGTTTACTCCCAGTGGCTGGGCGGGCTCGCCCCCTCCCCGGCGCCGGGAGGACC